GTTGCTTCTAGCAAGCAAGATGATGTCTCAGAAGATGTTGAAACCACAAGTCAAAATCTTGCTGACACTTCTGAAGATGAGGATATGGATGTGGCCATGGGGTCACCTGTTCTTTTGGAAGAAGCAAAACTGTCTCCTGTGTGCTTGTAAGTAGAGCTGCACTTTTTGGTGATTTTTAAATTTGCAAAAGAGAACAGTTTGTCATCCTGTATCAAATTTGACCTGAATTCACAACTTGATTAGTGTTGGCTAGTAAAATGTTTCAGGGTAGTTTAACAAAACTAGGGGGGGTGGAAGGAAGTAATAGTGCTTCACGTTATCCAGTAGTTTAGTGTTATGTGTGCAAGCTAGTTAAATTCTTCCTCTTCCTGAAGGAATTAATCTGTAACTGCCATGCTCCAGGGGAATATAAGGGGGGTGTGTGTGTGCGTGTGTGTGTGTGTGTTTGCAACCCTGTCAATAAGGTGTGTTTGTTTCATTTTGTAGAACTAACTAACCTTATACCCAGGGATCCAGGTTTTCCACTTTGTGTGGAAAAACACAGATTTTCCCCTTTAATGGAAAAAATAACAGACGTTCCGCTTCCAAGGAGAAACACACAGATTTTCCACCTGCCATTTGCTCCTGGAGGCCAGGAGGTGAAAATAAGCTGTGGTTTTTGCGTCCTACTACTTGCTGCTGATTGGATGGTACCCAAAAACTGTGGCTTATTTGTAACTGCAAAACTGGCCATCAGGAGCGAGCTGCGCGTGGTGGGGCTGACAGCCCCAAGCAGCAGTAGTGGGGTGTGCGGGGAGCTCCAAGACTAAAGGAGCCACATCTGTGTGAGCTGCACAGTGTTTTAAATCAGGCCCTACAGGGTATAGGTAAGTTCTTGGGGTGTGGGGGAAGTGGGGTTGGAGGTCTGCGGTTTGGGGACATTCCCTGCATCCTTGGGTCTGGGGGTTGATCTCTGGCAAGCTCAAACGGGCCCTGCGTCATTGGGGGGACCCCAATGGCACGGTATCAGCCAATCTGCCTGGTTAATAATTGGCTATCGGTATCGGCTAAGAAAATATTTATTGGTGCACCCATAGTAACAACCATTTTGCTTCAGCTTAACTGAAGAGAGTTGGGGGGATCCAAGCTAAATGTCCTTCACGATTTGCAGTGGAATTCAGTGGTTGACTGCTTTGAGCTTCTCATTAAGAACTGGCTTATTCTGATGACCATTTGATGAGGAAAATTGTGACAAAATTGACGAAAGTATCACAGCTAGAGTAGTCGACATTGGACTAAAGAGAAATTTTGAAGGTATGCTGAATTCACTAAAACCTATTTCCATAGCCTTAGACAAACTACCACAAGATTGCTGCCATATTGCCTATGCCGTTGGAATTTGGAAAGAACTTCAAGAAACAAAGCAAGAAATACCCAACAGCAAAGTTAAACTGTAGGCAGTAAAGAAGAGGATGAATCGGGCACTTACTCCACCTCATTTTTTGGCTGTGTCCTTAACACAAAGTACCAAGTTAAATGCCTAGCTGGTGAAGAGGACAATGCTATGACAGGGCATCTACTAATCACCCATCAGTCGTAATACATTTCAGTGCTAGACATGAATCATTCAAGTAGGATGTGTGTCCTGAGGATGTTTTAAGAAAATCACAGCACTGCACTGGTGGAAGTCTCTAATAAAGCACCTGGAGCTAGAACTAGTTGAAGTGCTAAACCAGCTTTTTCCAGCAGTAGCCTGTTCTGCAAGTGCAGAAAGAATATTTTCTTCATTTGGACACGGTTCTTTCAAAGCTGAGAATTAAATTTTTGGGAGTTGAAGAAGTAGGAAATCTTGTTTTTTCTCTTCCAGTCTATGAATAAGAAGGAGGAAGAGGATGAAATTTAGGAGCTCTAAAAACGTGAAAGAAGGGGCATGAAAATTTTAAAAATAGCTTAGGTAAAAAAAAGTCCCATTTGAAAGAGAACTAGCTAAGTAGGAACTTAAAGCTCAAATGACTTTCATTTACACATTTTAGAAAATTTTCCCTAGGGTGTCCTTAAATAATTGGCTTAATTCACTTACGACCGTTCAGACTTCTAATACTACAGCAAACGCTGTGACATCCGGCACTTTACCATCTGGAATGCTTCACGAACTGGCATCTGTCAATACAACTGTTCCTTCTGAGGGACGTGGCAAAAGCGAAACTGTAAGTCCCACTTCTGGTTTTGCTGCCACGAGCCGAGTCCCACTTCTTCTTTGTGGACCACAGCCCAGGACAGAGCAGCCTGCATGGGGGCCCTCTCCCTGTCCCCCGGCACACTGATGCCAGGAAGTGAAACCCCTGGTGCACCAGACGCAGCATATTTGATTAAGGGCCCAATCTTGTGGGGTTCTCAGAGGCTCCTCTATAGATTAGTAAAGATTAAAGAAAACCACTCTGCTCAATGGGACTCAGTGATCAGTCTTCAAGATCCCATTAAGCGCCTCTGTGATGCTTTGTTTAAGATTTCAAACTGGATTTGTGTCTCCAGAGATAACATCCCTTGTTAACAGCTGTGTATGGAGAGGAGGAGGACAGATCGGATTACCTACCCTCATTACCTACCCTCAGTCGTATTGTCTGTCTGCAAGTTTGTGTACACAGAGTCGAGCCCTTTCCTCTCTTTTTAAAAGTGCAAAGTTTCAAGAAGTTAAATGAATAGAGGTTTGTTGGGGGTGGAGTAGATCTGGGCAAGGAGAAGGAGTCTGGAGATAAATGCAAAGAGGGAGGGGCAGTAGAAACAGAAACATTTTGAGCAGAATTTTGTTGAAATTGCAAAATCCTTCCATAACAACCACTTTGCAGCAGCTGCTCTGAAGAAAGTAGGGTGAATCAAACTAACTCTCCCACAAGACATGCGATGGAACTCAGTAGCAGACTGTTTTGAGCGATATATTGGGACCTGGCCTAATCTGATGCCAATTTGTGAACAAAATTGTGACACAATAAATGGGACTGTCATAGCCAGAGTTCTAAACATTGGGCTAAGGAGAAATATAGAATGTATATGACTATCCTGAAACCTGCTTCCATAGCCTTGAACCGAGGTTATATCAAACAACAAGAATGCACAATTTGTAGAAAACAATGATTAAATTGAGGCTTCCTGACCAGTGATTTAAATCATGATCTATATCGATTTGATTTAAATCAAATCCACCCCTGCAAAAACGTTAGTGTTTTTGTTTAATGAATTTGAAGTGCTAGTGTTATGTGTTTGTTTAATTTCAGGTTGCTATCTTAACGCAGCTTGATACAAATCTGAGCAAAATATTAATCATCTAGTGACCTAAGAAATATATATTTCACCATTTAACAGCATACTAAAAAGTAGGATTTCTAACCAGGATATCTACTGTGAAAACTATTTAGTTGTAAATCAACACATTTTAACTATTAGATCAACTAATGAAAATACACCTTTCTTTACAAAGGAAAAAATACAATGAGAAAGTTGATAAAAAACAAGTTTTTAAACTGGACTTCGGCTTGTTGATTTAATTCTTGTTTTAAATCAATTTAATTTAAATGAATCCACCCCGGTCTCATCCTGGAAGGGGAGTAGGCAGGTGAGAGAGAAGACAGGTTGTTCTTAGCGACTGTCCCCCACTTCCCTTCCCTTCCCTTCCCTTCCCTTCCCTTCCCTTCCCTTCCCCTTTTCAATAGCAAAGAGAACTGTGGAATGCTAGAAGACTGAGAAACCACCTGTAGCATGGCTGTGCCCTGAACAGACATTATAAGACAAGTAGAGACGTACCAAATTTGCGATTTCACTGATTCTGTGAAATCTGGCATTGGCCATGAAATCTGGGCAATGCCTGCAAAACCCGTGGGGAAAAAAAGAAAAACTTGTGGAAAAGAAAATGCTGGTTCCTCAGAGGGAGCCAGCAGTCCTCAGTGCACTGTGGCAGCTTCTTTTGGGTGTGGGGAAGGGGAAAGGCTTGCTGCTCAAAGGGCTGCGGGCAGTGTGGCTGCTACTCCTACCCCTTACCGCTGATTGGCTGTGAGGGCTGCCTGTCATGTGGTCTTAGTTCAGTCTGCAGTAAGCGGTGGGACCACATGGCAGGTAGCCCTCACAACCAGTCCATGGCGAGAGGTGGGGCGACTGGGGCACCTTGGCCAATCAGAGATGGGGCGGGGGGAGCGACTGCACTCCGCCTGTGAAGTGGCTGCCTGTGGAATCAGGGGCATGCCAACCCCGTCCATGAATTAGATAGGTCCCTAATTATGTGTTGCTACAAAATGTAGCTGTACTGAGCTCTTCCTATTTAATCAAAGAACATTTCTCTAGTGCTTCTGCTATTTTTGTCATACTGCAGAGGGTGTGCACACTGTCTCCTTGACTTCAGTAGCGCTATAAGGACATATATAATACTACAAATGTAACTTCTGCCCATGTCAGTAGAACGATCTCCACTTGAGAATACCTGCCTTAACCTAATAGTTATGACAGCTGCCAGAGGAGTAGCAGACCTGAGTTCCACAGAATTCACTTACAAAAAGTGAAACAGAATCAACTAAAGAATAAAAGCTTTCATCTCGGGGTATTTCTTACTGAGACAGAGGAGGGAATTGAACCTTGATTTCCAGTATCCTAAGCAAGTGCCCTGATGACTAGGCTATTGCCATTTCTTCCGCTTGTAGTTTTGTGAATTACATTTCAGTTTGTGAGAAACCTAAATGATAATTTCAGTTCCTGTTTAACAATTTTTTTTTGCCAGACTTAAGAAAATCAATTATTTACACAGCCGTGTGTGTGTGTGTGTGTGTGTGTGTGTTTATATGTTGTTATTTGTCAAAATATGTTTTCCTATAAGGTATGCTATTTTGCTAACTTGTAAGTTGCAGTTCCTCCTGGTAATGTATCTGATCACTTTTTTAAAAGTGTGCTTCTGTTCATAGTGCATGATTTTAAATGCTCTTTTTGGTTTTTTTTTTACAGACATACAGAAATTGAAAGCTTGGCAGTATCTCAGGCAATAGAAGAAGATCAAGTTGCTCCAATGGAAAGAGTAAAATGTCTTACTGTGCCTTCTGAACAGAAAGTAAAGAAGCCTTTTTTTTCAGCACTCTTAACATCCATGACAACAGAAACAGTTGAAAAGTGGTGCGTTTATCAAAGAATAAATAAAACAGTTTTTTAGTAGGTTAACACAAATCAAAGGGTTGTATTAACAAAAATTTAAACCTTACATTATAAATGTGTTATAAATTGGGGTGGGGGTCTTTAGGCTTTCAGACTGAATCTGTTGCATGGAGCTGTGTGATCTAACCTACGGGTCTCAGCCGAACTGTACACATCGCATGCAGTGTATGACCTTCATGTGTCACATGGGGCTGGATCCAGAACTGTTGGTGCTGCGTGAAGTTTGGGGCTAGTCTGGAATTTGTACTGCACGTAGTGCCTGCTCTGGATCAGCTCTGTGCACTTGCTCATGGACTGTCCCTATGTGCCAGAGCCAGTGAGCAGGGTTGGTCCAGCACATGCATCACATTCAGTGTGCAGGCAGCATGAGCCCCTGACCAGGGCTGGCGCTTGTGGTAAATGCAGCAGGATGGTAGGTTGTGTAACATTTAGCACAGGGGGCTGCTCTGGGATGTGTAGTGCATATGAAGCGCTGCCTACAGGGCCAGTTTGGTGCAGGCATCCCATGCAGTCTGTGGCCCTGGCTGTCTCTTTGTGAGCCCCACACTGGGGCCAATGCCCACTGCATGAATTGTACAGGGCTGGCCCAGGGCATACACTGAGGTGCTTGTGCTGGTTTGGCCCTGTGCCCTGGCTGTCGTGCTTGGGGCTGATCTGTGGATAAGGTCTGGCCCACAAACTGGTTCCTCACCCCTTATCTGGCTCACAGGGCCAGATAAGTTTGACACCCCTGAAATATTCCTTTCAGTAATACTGTAGAATGCCTTAATTCTGGCAAAGGTGCTTAAACAATTAGTTAATTATTTATTTTTTTTGCAGAGTTATATTTTGACACTGATTGTTCCTCCTTGCATGCGCTAATAAAAGTAGTGCATGACAAAATAAAACTGTAAAAGAAAAGTGTGAATAATTTTTGAGCTAGCGAATTCATACGATGTGATGGATTTGAATTGGTATTAGGGGCTTGAAATCATCTGATATTTACGAGGGTCTTTGAAGAGGTAAGGTGGACTGGAGCAATGAGGAAGACAAGTGGGAAGGTAGGGGACAGTTCTTGGGGTAGACTTGCTTATCAGAAAAGTTGAATTAAAGGGAAAAGAGGTTGGTTTGAGTCAGATGGGAGGTGTGCTGATGGCTTCCCAAAATGTCTGGGAAATGAGAAGACCAGAATTTTGGGATACAGCTAGGAAAAGTAGAGTGTGGTCTGTTATTTGAAAGGGACTGTTGGGATGGAATGATAAATATTTTAGTCGCTTGGCTAAGCAGTATGCATAGCATGTTTTGTTGCTATGAAGTCGCTGGTTTCCGAGCCTAAAATTCAAGGAGTACTTCAAATTTAGTTCTAAAATTTTCATCTATGCAGGTACTTTGTCTCTTAGTTGGGAAGAACATCAGAAGTGTAACTGATGTAAGAATATACAAGAATTGTTTACAAGTGGTAAAGTATCTTGTTGCACACTTCAGTGACCTTCTTATGTAGAGTAAAATTTTGTATAGCGGATAGTGTAAAAGATTCTGGGAACGGCTTGTTAAAAACTTTTCTAGCTATATTGCCATAATATCCATAACAATACAGGTCACAAGTTACTGTTTGTTTTTCCAGATTCTTACTGTAGGTGCATAATTTAGAAAATTCTGCTTTTCTTTTTCTTTTAATACTCTTTTTTTGTATTTTGATCCTTAGCTATTCAGCCCCTGTATTGCCACCAGCTGCTACTCCTGCGAAAGAGATGGAGATAGAACATGATTGTGAGTTTTTAATTGATGAATCAGAAGAAGATTCTTTTACATCCTGGTTTTCAATACCAAAAAAGAAAAAACAAACAGGTAAACGGGATTTAGCAACTCCTGTTCAAAAAATCAGTCCCCTGAAACAAAAAAGGTGGTTTCAGGGGAAAGCAAGGAAGTCAAAGAGGCGCACAATGAAATGAAACTGTGTGTTGTTGCTGATGGAGTACAAGACCAATTATAAAATGTTTCTGATACAAATGCAGACTTCTCTGTCAAAGAAAGAGATGCTCTTAAATCTGGAAGGCCAAAAAGGTTTCATGTTGGTAATTAATTAAAAAAAACAGGTTGGGATGGGAAGACTAATTGGATTTTACATGTATACTAGCTAATTGCCTGTCAGGAATGACAGGGAGTGAGGAGCAGGAGGCGGCTGGGATGAAGTGCTGCCACCTAACGCCCCATGCTGCTGCTGTGCTGCCTCTTGCAGCGAATGGGATGGGGGAGTTGTGCTGGCCTCTGCTCCCTCACCCTGTGTCCGGTCCTTGGCACGGCTTCGGGATCATGACGGCGCTCCCCCACGCTTGGAGCACTGCGATGGGCTGTTTTCGTCAGCCACTCAGAATGCGAATAAAGCATTACGGACATACAGACAGCCTTAGGCTTTTATGATACTAACACGCCCCCCCCCCCCCCCCAGGTAACTGTATAAAATTGAATTATGAAAGAAAAATATGGTCCTTCATATTTCTTTCTTGTCAGGGACCCTTCTGCCATTTCATTTGTCTCAGTTCACTGTGTTGGCAAATAATTTTTCCTTGACTTAGGATGGTGGTGTTCCTGC